AAAAAAAAAAAAAAAAAGAAAGAAAAGGAAAAGAAAGAAAGAAAGGAAGGACTTAATTACTTCACGAGTCTCTTCCACATTTAACCTGTTGTACTCTCAAGAGTTGTCACCAAAGCCCATGACAACGGTATCGATTTTTTCAGTTTCACTAAAAAAAAGTGAGACAGGTGCCTTGGCTCAGGCCCATAATCCCAGCACTTTGCAAAGACAAGGCGGGAGGATGGCTTGAGCCCAGGAGTTCAAGACTAGCCTGGGCAACATAGTGAGACTCTATATTAAAAATACAAAAAATTAGCCAGGCATGGTGACACGTGCCTGTAGTCCCAGCTACCCAGGAGGCTGAGGTGGGAGGATTGCTTGAGCTGAGAGATCATTCCAGCCTGGGTTTCAGAGTGAGACTCTGTCTCAATTAAAAAAGAAAAGAAAAGAAAAGAAAAAAATATCAGCACTTTTAGGAGGCGAAGTGAAGGGATCTCAAAGACAAATGTATAAAAGTGCAATGAACAAAAGCCAGGTTAAGGCAACTGATAGGCAGCCCAAATGGCTAGTAAAAGCTGGCTTATACAGCAGGTCTGTCACTCACCTACCTAAGTGACAGTGTCAGATACCCACAGGACCCAGAAAACTAACTCCTTCTTGGTATGCTGCAAGTGCTACAGAATCCTAAACTCTCTAAAAAAGAAAAAAAAGAAAAAAAAAGAATCCTAAACTCTCTCCTGAATCCATGAAAGAAAGTGAAATTTTACTCGCTCTGCTCTTACTGTTCAGCGTAGTTTATTGCATTCTAGTCTGTGACTGTCTGTGCCTCTTGTTTTCTGATCCACTTATCAAAATGGCATGCCAGAATATTCTTTTGTGTGTGTGTGTTTTTTTTTTTCTGAGACAGAGTCTCGCTTTGTTGCCCAGGCTGGAGTGCAGTGGTGCAATCTCGGCTCACTGCAACCTCTGCCTCCTCGGTTCAAGCAATTATCCTGCCTCAGCCTCCCGAGTAGCTGGGACTACAGACATGTGCCACCATGCCTGACTGATTTTTGTATTCTTAGTAGAGATGGGTTTCACCATATTGGCCAGGTTGGTCTCCAACTCCTGACCTCGCAATCCACCCGTCTTGGCCTCCCAAGGTGCTGGGATTACAGGTGTGAGCCACCACGCCTGTCCTATGGGGACTCTTTTTAACAAAATGTCTGACTAAAGACAATACAGTGTTCCTTTACCATATTCAGGAGCAGAGACTTGGAGATAAAATGGCAGGAGGAGAGAACGATCCAGAGTATGGTGCCTTTGGTGCCATCATGGCAATTCCTGACAGAAATGCCCCCTGAGAAATGTGACCCTGCAGGGTCACAGCCTTACTGGTCCCCACCCACTCCGGGCTTGGCTAGACTGGGGGCTGCTCACAGGGGACTGTCTCCATTCTCCCTGTTCTTCCCTGCCAGCTGCATGAGAAGTTTGATCGTCTGAAGAAACTGCACCAGGACGAGAAGAAGAAGCTGGAGGATAAGAAGAAATCCTTGGATGATGAAGTGAATGCTTTCAAACAGAGAAAGACGGCGGCCGAGCTGCTCCAGTCCCAGGGTTCCCAGGCTGGAGGCTCACAGACTCTGAAGAGAGACAAAGAGAAGAAAAAGTAAGTAGCAGGCTGCTCTGGGGTGATGCCTTCTCTCTCCTCCTGCTCATCCTTCCGGGGCAGGATGTGGCACCTGAAGGGGCTGAGGACTGGTGACCAGAGGTGAGCTGCGGGCTGTCAGATTGGTTGGGGTACCTATATCTGGTCTCGGCATACCTGTGGGATCATTGGATTCCCTGAGTTTGGGGAGCCGAGAGTAGGGGAGGGATGTGGTCCTGGAGGCCCAGCCCATCCATCCAGCTTGCTTAGGAAAGCCACGCAAACTCAAGGCCCATAGGAGCAGAAGGGAAAGGAGAGGAAAAGCAAAGGGAGAGTGAAGGAGCAGAAGGGAGGAAAAAAATAAGAAGGGCAGCAATTATAAGAAAGAGAGGAACAAGGCTGGGTGCAGTGGCTCATGCCTGTAATCCCAGAACTTTGGGAGGCTGAAGCAAGCAGATCACTTGAGATCAGGAGTGTGAGACCAGCCTGACCTACATGGCAAAACCTTGTCTCTACTGGAAAAAAACAAAAACGAAAACAAAAACAAAAAAACAGAAAGTATCCCAGTGTGGTGATGCATGCCTGTAGTCCTAGCTACTCAGGAGGCTGAGGCAGGAGAATCACTTGACCCCAGGAGGTGGAGGTTACAGTGA